AACAGTTTCATGGACTGAGTGCGGGTGGTTTCCAAAATGTGGCTCTCGCCTTCATTTGCAAGAGCTTTACGGATCGAGTGCGGGTGGTTTTCAACATGTGGCTCTCGCCTTAGCGCGGCGCACCCTCGTTTTAAAAATTGCAAGAATTTCACGGATTCCCATCATCAACGTGTCAGAATTTTTGTTTTGAAAAGATTCTGGATTATGCGGGTGCAACAATTATGTTGATCCGCTGTGTTGAACCTGCGCGGTCCACTCCGAGACTCCCTCCTCCTCCCCAGCTCCCCCCGTTCCCCGGCTGGTGCTGCCGCTCCTCCTCCCCTCAACGCGTGCCGGGCAAAATGGGGCGCCGCGGCGGACGCGGGTCCTGCGCGGCGGCGGGCGCGGTCTGCAGGCTGCGCGCCGAGGGCGCGGCCGACGCTGGGCTCGTCGGCGGCGCGGCCGCCGCAGCGGGCGCGGTCTGCGCGGTGCGGGCCGAGGCTGCGGCCGCCGCGGCGGGCGCGGCCTGCCGCGGCTGCTGCGGCGCGGCGGCGGGCGCGGCCTGCGCGGTCTGCGCGCTGCTGCGGGCCGAGGCCGCGGCCGGGGGTCCCCGGAGCTCCGCATCGAGCCGCATCGTCGATCCCCCGACCCCATCCGCTCCGACCCCTGGGAGGCCGAGAACCCCTTCCCCGGGGCCCCGGCCCATCTTGACGGCCCCCGGGGCCCGGCGAGGGCCCCCAGGGCACCGAACATGACGGCAAGCCTCCGCCACGGCTTTGCGTCACTGCGTTGGAGGTCTGGGCCTGAGCCTGTCCCCCCCCCCTGGCGTTGCCCCTGACCTGCACGACCGGCTTCGTCTGCTGCGGCGCGGCGGCGGGCGCCTCCGGCTCCTCGCGCCGCGGGGCGCAGGTCGAGGCGCGGAGGAAGCCGACAACGACGAGGACGAGGGCGAGGAAGGCCGACGACGGCGGCGACAAACGACGACGAGGAGGCGAGGGGCCTGGCGGAGCACAGGAGGGCTATGCTCGGTCTGGGGATCTTCCTGGGGCCACTCGCTCCACTCATGCGTTGATGCTGCGTCGAACGCCCGTCGACTGGAGCCGAGCTTGAGTCGAGCAGGAGTCAGACCAAGGCCAGAAGAACATCCCTCAAGAACATGAGACCATGTGTCGGGCAAAACACGCAGAACATCCAAAGGTACCCTCCCCAGGATGCACAAGAACATCCAACAAGCACGAAGAGCATTAGGGTAATTACCCTCCCCGAACCGACCTCGATCTTGTACCTCGGTCCGACTGTATGAATCAAAATAGAGCCAACCGACAGTCGAACAGATCCGTCAGGTGGCCCCAGGAAGGTCGCCCAAACGAGCATTTTTAACAGGAGGGCTAGACGAAGAAAGAACTGCATAAGTATAAACTTCCGGAGCAAAGCGCGAAGTTCCTGCGCCTGCGTTGAACCCCCCTGGCGCACGAAGCCAGGGGCAGCGCCGGAGGCGCCGCCAGGGGGCTCCAGCGCCGATCCAAGAAATCCCCACGCAGCTCCGAAAGTTTATGTTTATGCCACTTGTTATTCTTCGGGGGAAGGCCTCAAAAAGGAGCAGCTGGCGGGAGAGTGACCAGCAGGGCAGGCGCGGGAGCAGGGCAGATCCCAAAGATGCCGACACCGCAGCCTTTCGCGGCAGGCTGGAGCCCCAGAGGTCATCCTGGGCCCCCAGACATCCGACGTCCGAGACACAGGCTCCCGACCTCCCGACCACTTCCCTGGGACCGGTTTTTCATCCGGAGTCATTTTTGGACAGCCCCGAGGCCCAACGAGGGCCCCGAGAAGCCGAAAACGACGAAGAACCTCCGTCTCGATTTTTGTCGAGACGCCCGATGTCTGGGCCTCGAGAGGTGTGCTCTGGTGCTCTGGGTTGCATAGGGGGGCCTCCTCGGGGATCCCGGGGACACCTTGGGCCAGGGTCAGGGACACTTCTTGGGAAACCAAAAGACTCCGACTCCGCTGCTCCGGACCTCTCCCAAGGGTGCCTTCTGAACAGGACCTCGAGGCGAATCCTTCTCCTCCTCCTCCTCCTCCTCCTTCTCCTCCTCCTCCTCCTCCGCCTCCTCCTCCTGCTCCTCCTCCTCCCTCCTCCTCCTCCTCATCCTCCCCCCCCTTCTCCTCCTCCTCCTCCTCCTCCTCCTCCTCCTGCTCCTCCTCCTCTTCCTCCTCCTCCTCCTCCTCCTCCTCCTCCTGCTCCTCTCGTCCTCCTCCTCCTCCTCCTCCTCCTCCTCCTCCTCCTCCTCCCTCCTCCTCCTCCTCCTCCTCCTCCTCCTCCTCCTCCTCCTCCTCATCCTCCGCCTCCTCCTCCTCCTCCTCCTCCTCCTCCTCCTCCTCCTCCTCCTCCTCCTCCTCCTCCTCCTCCTCCTCCTCCTCCTCCTCCTCCTCCTCCTCCTCCTCCTCCTACACCACCCCCTCCTCCCTCCTCCTCTCCTCCTCCTCCTCCTCCTCCTCCTCCTCCTCCTCCTCCTCCTCCTCC